CGAACGAGCTTGGAGAAGGATTGACGAGCACAGGGAAGCTTTTCCGTGGTATATATGTGGGCTGGAAGGCAGATATGCAGGCTGAAAGGCATAATTGCGCGCAAAAAACGCTACGGAAGTGGTTATATGCGCGTCAGGAGGGTCGGATATGGTGGAGCGGTGGCATTTGCGCAGTGTGGCTAGTCTTCTAATGGAGCAGATACGGACGGGGTAAACGCTCTGTGTTCTCAGTCAATTGAGAGAAGATACCGAGAAAATACGCAGCATTGCTGGCGCGACGACGTCCATGCGTGAAGCTCGTGTTACGCAGGAGTCGTCAGATCCCGCGTCATGTAGGTCGAGCCTACAATAGTGTTGCCAGCATGCCTAGATATTGGGTACGTGCTGGTGTGAGCGGCTCCAGATTTTCACGCAGGTCTTGTGAGCGACGTTCGGCGGGACATGTCGCTGGAGCGCGGAAAACGAGATGAACTGAGTTGAGTTGAGCACATAGTCAAGCGGCCTCCCTCACCACGGCTGCCCAATGGAGTGACACTGGGTATATGCGCGGTGTTCTCGAAGAACCCAGTTCCATTTGTCGTCTCCAGAATCCAGATAGCGCGAGAAGAATCAGCAGACGTGAGGTAGAGCGAGCAGGTGCAGAGGAAAGTGCGCGGGTGCAGAGCAAAGCGGGAGAACGCAGACGAGGGCCAGAGAGTATATGGGGTGCACCTGAGAGGGCGGCGGCGGATGAGCGCGGCAGTCAAGAGGCGAAGACTCAGAGTCGTGACGCGTCGAATGGACCCGTGACCGTCTTGTTCATGTGACGGTTCCAACTTCCGAGCGGCATCTGCCGATACCCGTGCACGCGCGGCGCTCATTCTGAGTCTCGTACAACACTCATTCTTCCGCTTGCGCGTGGGTCGCAACTCGTGTATCGCGTTTCGCGTACGAGGATGAGGATGAGGATCACCCACCCCTTGCACTGCCGTTCCCCTCATCCGATGGACCCCACTCTTCTAAGTTATCCCAGTACCAGACCAGTCCATCTCCGCTCTCCATTTCTCGGAGTACATGCGCCGCCCATCACGAATCCCGAGCCGGTGCCCATCCACACCGTCTTCCTGTCACAGCTTCTTCCGTTTACAGCTTCTTCCGTTCACTACCGCTTTTCATGCAGCTCACGAGTCGTGTAAGTATAGATGTGCGGTGAATGAGGTGTGAAAGAACCTACCGAGAAGCGCGTTGCACTGTGCATATCAGGGACCCCGGACCTGGGGACCGATACCCAAGGCCCTGGGCCATTTACCCAAGGCCCCGGGTTGGGCCTTCGAAGCCTGAAGCGGGTTGGAAGCGGGCTTCATCTACACAGTGGCACTGCAGCAAAATGCAGCAAGTCTGCACATCGACCAGTGATTGGTGGCCAGAAACCGATTGAGCAGGACATAGCCATCCCAGCAGCATACGCATGAGGAACGCATCTAGGCGTACACGGACAAGCCAGCGATGTCGATGAGTCACGATGAACATTGGAGACGGACGTCCGGCAGATACCGAGACAGTGACGGCAGTCGCCGAGCGCGAATATACTGAGCAACAACATCAAACAAAGCGCTTGCTCTCTTCCACCGTCCGCCTCGAAGCCACTTCGCGACTCGGCTTCTATCTGCGGCGAAACTCACCTGCACGACGCACGTCTCGTTCTCTCGGGCCACTTTCCGTCGTTTTGGTCTACGAGCCATCTTGCCGCACTTCTAAGTTCTCGTCCACCGACTTCCCCTTGACGAATTGGTTTCCGCGCGCCAACGCTATCCTCTTGTCCTTCACCATAGCTCATAATACTCCTATACTAATACTAGCACCCGGTGCGCCCCTCGCGCGTTACGCGGAGTCGCTCTCCATCCTCAACGCATTCCTTTCTCTTAACACACCCTTTGTTCTTTGTTCGCTATACATTTAACGTTACTGACCCGCTGGTTGTTGCCTTCTTACTCTATTGCCTTGCCTTCTAGTCTCCTAACATACCTTACACTCTCGTCTAATGCACCCACGAAACCCTTACCGGACGCCCCTCGACTTCAATGCCCTTTCGGACGCATTTCCGGCCCTTCGTCCTTAGTGAGTCTTCACCTGCCGTTGGGTCGCATTGATGACATTCCCTCGCTGGGTGTGCGCTCATCGTCTATTGAACGCATTTCCAAGCTAACGTCCGGACCAGTGTCAGACTGTCTGCAAACGGTCGCCCCACGCTCGATTTAGCGACGCGAATGCGCAAATGTACGTCTTACCAGTTTCTATGGACTTCATCAGGTTTCTACGTATGATGCACATATTTATGCGATGTATGTTACTCGACAACGTAAGCTAAATGCTCACCAGATATCTCACGCAAGCGCTCCTGCACCGCGACTTTGGCGTGCGCATCGAGCTTACCTCTGACAGGCTATGTCCACCGGTAAGTGCAACGCTATTCGTGCTGGCCGTAGCGCGTTTGATGCTCTCGGACGAACTAACAACAGATATCCGACAACAGGTCCCGAATCGGTATGTGTTTTTCTGTGTATCGCTGCTAGCTGGTCAGAATTCGGGACCGCCGCGGGTTCAGTCATGTCTTCTGACCACACGCATTGCTGACTACTCCCATTTCAGATTAAACTATATCCTCTGGTTGCAAGATATCGTCGCAGCGTCACGGAACGATAATCCCTCGCTCAGTTATATTCCTGCCCTTGGTGACACTCCCGCCCTCGCCTCTGACACCACCAACACATCCGCTCATCTTGCGCAGAACCAACCGATCCTTGGCATAGATATGTACGTTCTTTCCTCTGTACTACTCATATGCTGGCCTACAGCAATTTCCTACCATGTCTTCCTGCCTACACACTGCATCTGCGCCGATATCTCACTTCGCCTTCACCCAACCTTCGACTAATACTCTATTCCAGCGGCACCGGCGCGTCCGCGATCTATCCGCTTTTGGGTTGTGCTACAGACGCGCGATGGGCCTTTGTGGCAACTGGTGCGTGGGGGCCGCTCATTGGGTCTGACTGGAGGTTAATTTTTTGCGTGTTTCTGTTGGTCTTAATATATCGTTCAAACCCGCTAATCAGAGCTCGACCCGCTCTCCATTCGCCTCGCGCGCGAGAACATCTCTCGCAACGGGCTCGACAAGCCGTTTAACAGCCTTCCCAAGCTGGACAACGATATGCACTCGCACGTCGAGGACTCCCATCCGCGCGTCGAGATCATCCAAGCTAGCGGGTCCGGTCCCTTGCTCCTCCCGCTAGCCACCCACCCGAACCGTCATTTCGCGTTCACCATGTGCAACCCACCGTTCTATGCGAGTGCAGCAGAGATCGCAGCGTCCGCAGCGGGCAAGGCGCGTCCTGCTGCGGGAGCGAGGAGGGTGGGCGTTCGGCAAGCCAGCAGGGTCTCGTCATCAAGGACTACTCCGGAGCCCACTGGCAAAGTCGGCATCGACGTCGACGTCGAGGTCGGGGAGCAGGCAATCGACTCCGGGTCTAGGGCAGATGGATGCGCCGACCGCCCTCGCGGGCGCGCCGGTCGAGATGGTCACGCCGGGTGGCGAGTCTGCTTTTGTGGCGCGCATGATTGCAGAAAGCGTGCAGTACAGTGAGAGGTGTGGGTGAGTCGTGTCGACGTTCATCGTCGAGACAAGTACTGATCGCGATGACTAGCTGGTACACCTCTATGCTCGGCAAGCTCGCCTCTGTCGCGGAGGTGGTGCGCGTTCTCAAGCAGTATGAGGTGTGTGTTACGATGTATGGATAGCCAAGGCCGTGCACTCATTATCCTCGTCTGCCTCTCCTCGGTCTGTCCGATGTGTTAAACATCACAACAGATCGATAACTATGCGATCACTGAGCTCGTGCAAGGTCAAACGCGCCGATGGGCGGTTGGCTGGTCTTTTACCGAAAGTCGGTTACCAGACGTGCGTAAATGATGACCTGCTGTGCGCCTCGCTCCCTTTCTTCGCTCCCAGGTCCTATTGCTATGTATATCTGCTGATCGTTCCATAGTCTCTTGCCCGCGTCTCAAGCCAGGCGCTATCAAGTGTCCTACCCTTGCGGAATGAGATGACTCAGCCGCTGCTTGGTTGGAGCGCCTTTGAAACGAACTTCGACGAGCAAATGGAGGCTACCATACGCCGGGTCTGCGCCGCTTTGCCTGGCGTGGCAATACAAGCAAACGCGCAAAGCGCATCGCTCACCATCTTCGCCGCGTCAAATACGTGGTCGCGTGCCGCGCGCCGAAAGGCACAGAGAGGGGATTCCGAAGTGAACGGTGGTGGGAGCGCTGCGCCAGCACTCGTCGTTCGTGTATGGTGGACGTCCAGCGAGGAGGAGAGCCCGTCGACCCATGCAGACTCGATGGACTGCGAGGATAGCAGTTCGATCATCGAGGATGCGGCGGCGGAGTATGGCGTACAGGCGCACGTGGTCCAGAGTATGCCATGGACGTTGATGGGCCTGCGCGCGGAGCGCGAGTGCATTCAAGCGCCGCTGCACGAGCATCGTCCCCCAGCGCTGCATATTCGCTGGTTGCTCGGCCGGGATCGGGCATTGTTTGAGACATTCTGGAGTCATCTGGCGCGCAAGGTTGATGGTTCTGCGTGAGGGACTCGGAGTATGTTACTAGTAGGAGCGTATATGTTACGTAGATGTGCGGCGCGGCGGTAATCGATGTTGGAAGAAATAGTCCGTTCAGTTACCACCGCTGGGTACTACTACCTCGATGAAGATGCTTGGCCATAAACAAAGTACCGTTGGCTGTCGATGTGACGTCGAATAAGATAATTCCCTCTAGTCATCCTGATGAGTGCATATAACGGAATGCGGATGGGCGGGAGCAACTGTAAAAGACAGAAAACGTCAACAATGCGACAGTGGTCCCGCTGAGTGGCGTGCCATTGTTCTGCACTGGAAATGCGCTATAAATCTTCCTGCTTGAGCTAGCGGGCCCCAAAAATTCTGGGAGCTAGCCAGCAGTATAAAGAATACACCGGACGGGAATCGAACCCGTGCCGCTTGCTGATTTAGCTCCTTTTCAGGATGTATGGAAGGCAAGCATGATAACCACTTCACCACCGGTGTGTCGAAAGGCTGGCTATTTTGATATCAATCTCAATATTGTGGTATAGCTCTGCTACAATCGAAGCAACCATCGCGCATTCACTCATCCCTATAGCCCAAATCGTCAACGGCAGCCATGCAAACGCCGAGTCCTTCATCTTTAATGTGACAGTCGTACAACGCTGGATTGAGCGCTTTGCAAGTGCGATATTTGTCTATATCGTCCCACACCGTCGAAGAGGGCATCTCACTAATTGATAGCTCCACCATTCCTGGTGATATTTCATGCTATCAGTGCGGTTTGAGTGGTCTGCAATGCCACCCAGCCAGCAGAGCGATCGTGATCGTGCTACCAAAGATCCTCCCTCCTGGCTCAACGCCTCATTCCATCGCGAGCGTGCTCTTCTCGAGTGGGCGCCCAGCTCTGCCAAGAGAGTTTTGAAGTTGGATATATTCGTGCGGCGAGTCTCATCCGAATGCTGGCCCCTTCTCGAGTAAGAGCCCTCTGGGCTGCAGTAAGCCGACGACCTGGCCCGGATCGTGCTGGTAGTAACTGAAGAGCGCGTCTAAGGGTTCATATACTGTCAGTCTGTGCATAGTTGCATCTGACTGTCGCCGTACTCACGATTTTCTACGCCCTTTCGAGTGCCAGCTCCCAAATCACCGGCGGCAAAAATGTACTGCGTGACGTTTCCGGAGACCACAATTACTCCCTCATCGTTGAGCATCCTACGAACGACTGCATAGGTGAGCCGCCGACTCATTTTCCTCTGCAAACTTCCAGCAATTGTACATCACCACCCGAGCACGCACCGCCGTCCTACGCCTGCGCTCCTCCAGTGTCGCACGTCCCGCGATCCCCGCATCGTGCCCATGATGCCGAGCGCGCACGCCGCCAGCACCACCGCCTGCCTGGGCGCCTGCCTTGGCCTCTGAGGTCCGTTGATACCAGCGCTGGGCAGTGCAGAGGAAGGACGCCGCCAGAGGTCTCGAACGTCCATCAGGCGGCAAGGATGAAGGAGAGAACGAGGCTAGTCGGGGAGGGATAGGAGGAGAGAGGGATGAATGATGCGATGTCGGGAGCGGAAATCGGGGGAGGGGGTACTGAGGCAGCGTGCTCGCTGAGGAATGGTGGTACCGGCGAGATGAGGCTGGGGGCGAAAGGTGCGGTGAGGTTGGCGGCGGACGGGGGTCCGTGGGCGGAAGCAGACAGGCGGTACGCGGAAATTTTCATAAGCCGCACAAAGCGATACTGCAGGCGGTCGTGCTTGGACGTATGCCACAGGTACTCGTACAGCATTCCTATTCCCAGGGCTCATCGTACCCGAACAGCTGCCACCCATAGTTCTGGGAACCTCATCGAAATGGCCCTACATAGCGGATAGAATCACGCTTTCGTCCTGAAGCTTCGGCATCTTGGACGACCGTTGGTTAGGTTCGTCGTCGTCCCTCGCGCGCTTGATAGGATTGGAGCTGGCCTCCGAGTTGTTCTCGCACACCTGTCGACGGAGCCGCGCTGGCGGTGTTCGCTCGCCTCGACGGCCATCGTGCTGTGCTGCCGGACGAGACTCGCAGACAAGAAGCCGCCCGTAGAGCTTGGGGTGCTCCCGACGGTGGGCTAGCAGCATCGCGATCGCCTCGTTGAACACCTTGTACAGTCCCGTGTACGTAGTGGCGTCATGGAAGGAGTGCCCCCTCATGCGGTAGCTATCGAAAAGCTCTCCCGCAAGAGAATCGAATACGGCTGTGACATGGTCCCAGTCGCCCGAGAAGACCGGCTCGATTGTGTCCGAGAGCGAGCCTGCGACTGTGAGGGCTCGACGGCGCACGGGGGGACATCCAGAGTGATTCTGAAAGAGTTTGTCGATGATTTCTGGGGCGTGGGGCGAAACAAACGCCTCGCCCTGCAATCGTGGCGCAACTGGATCAACCTCGTACGGAGATGGCGCACTCCGCTTCTGGGCTGATTTTTTGGTGCTGACAGTAAGCAGGTCTTTGTCGGCATCATCGTCTGCCTCGACTGGCAGCATGGTTACGGAAGGGTGTGGCAATCGAGCCAGGTATGTCCAGAGTAAGACCCAGAACATCGACTCGAGATCGTGCTCGAAGTTGTGAATGATCGAGTCATGAGCCGCCCGCTCAACCACGCCAGACTCCATTGAAGCAACTCGCGCGGAGAAGCTCGTATACGTGCTGACCGGCGGCTGATATATCAGCGATTGCTGCTGGATTTCGACGGCCATGAAAAAGGGAGTGCCCTAGACATATCGATCAGATGGATGGCGCTTTGCATGAACAGAAGCGTACCGTTTTGGAGCCTGCACTATCCGTCGTGTCCGGTTCGAACCTCCTCGCATATTCTAGGTCGGCTAGCAAGCCACGGCCGTTGAACCAGATGAGGTTCCCTGTACTGATATCTCGGTGAACCCAACCCGCGAGGAAGAGAAGCTGGAGCGCTGACATTGGCCGTCAAAAGATGTGCCTCGGTCAAAACGAGTGAGAAGTACTCACCGAAGATGCAGGATTGTGCAGCTGTCAGCACAATGGAGATATCATCGACGTCGTGCAAGGCCTCGCCGACCTCGTTAAACACCACCCGATACTGGTATTTGGGCGGAAAGGTTCTGGGATCAGCGACTACCCGCGACGGCGGAGCGTCAAGAGTGTCAGGGGTGGGAATTGCACTCGCCGCACGACGCTTTGAAGTCGGCCCTTTCCAATCGTGGTCGATGGTCAGGAAGTACCAACTGTAGAGCCTGCGATCGCCGACGCATCTCCGTAACTCGTCTCGTGTCTTCGTATCGAAGCCATGCAGCACGCGCAGCGTCTCCGGGTCAGACGCCTCAATGCGTTTCGCCACAGCGTCAATGTCGGCAAAGAGGGCGTCCAAAATCTGCTTCTCTGTGCGCGCATCCTCGTCAAGCCAGACGTCTTTCAGCGCGCAGCGCTTCTCCTCGATCTGCTTCAGGCTCTGGAAGTCTTCGACGCGCACGACCTCCCAGACGCGCGTCCCTCGGCCGGTAAGGCAAGCGCCGTTGTGCTGGAAGAGGCAGCACGTTGACCTGTATAGCCGATCGCCGACCTCGAAGCCATAGCACGATCTTCCTTGGTACTTGACGACGTGGACGGTTTCGTCGAAGCCGAGATCGTGTCTGGACGCAAACATGAAGGCGATGAAGACCTGAATGCACCGTCGGTTATCCTGTGGACGTGTGGCGATGTGAGAACGAGCATAGGAAGTATCTAGTCCTGTATAGACAGCGTACATACCGTGCGCATATCAAAGGAAGCGGACATGCACGAGTGCGACCGTGAAAAGTACCAGACGGTCATGAGGGTGCCCGCGATCGATAACTAAAGGAGTTCTGTTAGAAACTTATATGTCAAGGCCATCGCGAGCGACGTACGCTGAACATATAATTTCGTCTCGCATCCACATTCATGGCGTACACAGCACCGCTGACGAGCTGCTTCCGGTTCTGGTAGAGATGAGCGTGACGGATTGAGCCGGAGCGACAGTGAAGTGCCTTACTTCAAGCGCGTCCATGATATGTGGCGTGTACTCGGTGGTGACCGCTGTGTCGTTGGAGAAAGTCAGTTCCTCTGGCACTTCTGATGTCGAGGGAGAGATGAGCGCAAAGATGGCGTCAGTCTTCAGACTGGACCCTGGGTCCCTGAGGCGCGAATGCTGGTTCGAAAACTCCACCAGCTGACAAGTGACCGTGCGATTCGGTATCGAGAGTCTCCGAAGCGTGTCTGAGGCCTTGGCAAGGAGCCTGTACGTCTCGCACTTCTCATTCTCTTTCCAGAGCCAGGCGCTGCCGTCATTCTGCAACAAGCTCTTCGTCTTCAGCATGTCTACAGCGGTGTCAATGGTCTGTTCCTCCGGAACGAAAGGCATGTAGTGCGTCATGAAGTCGTCCCAGGAGCACTCGTTGATTTCGGTCCTCATTTGCTTGAGTATTTCTTCAGATCGAAGATCGAAACGGTTCTGGGGGTCGCCATGATGGATACAGTTTTCACGAATTGTGGCAAATTTTTCCGAAGCGTCGCTGTAGATTGGCATGGTCAACGACTAGGTACGCAACCGAGAAAGCGCCAGCGTACAATGAAGTATCGGCTGAGGGTGTATGAAACCGACCCCGGGGTGCGGTGCTAGGTGTCCTGTAGCTCGCATTATGAGAAAAGACTTAGTTTTGTGAGTACACGCTCACGGCTGAGAACTGAATGACCGGTGCTCAGGTGATGAGGACGCCGCACCTGCCGTCGCAACGACAGTAGACAACCTTTCTGCATGAGCGCCGCAAGACATGGCGATCAGGAGGCCAATGGTTCGAAGCAAGGATGATTTCACCTGCAAGACGGTCTTTTCCCACGATGAATTATTTGTTTATATAATATGCCTGGCCACTCTTTCCTGCCATACGTCTGAATCTTCCGTGAAAAACTCGCACGGGTTGCAAGTACCGCAGACAGTGCCTTCCGAATGAAGTGTCAGTGTTTTCACGCTCTTTTGTGGTCCAGATTTGATAAACCTTGAAATGAGCGCAGCCCGTATGGCGAGATGTCCGAGTGGTCTAAGGAGTTGGATTCAAGCGCGCAGCTTGCCTGTTAAGGATGGGTTTCCCAATAGACGTTTGTCTGCGGGGGTTCGAATCCCCCTCTCGTCACATGCAATTTGCTTTTTTGTGATGTTTTCCCCCTGACTCGGTCATTTCATGACAATGTTATCGTTGCTTCCGAGCAACAGTCACTGGCGGTCTTGTTTTACCCTCAAAATCAGTACATAATCGTCTTACTACTCAGACTCGGTGGCACCATCGACGTTACGGTTCCCCCATGACCCGATAACGATCTCTCTGGGGCATGCCTCTGGGGACTTGTATGTCGCTCTTTGGGCCACATTCTCCAAAAAAAGGAGCTAGGGTGATCTAAACGTACCTCTGCGCCTCGCAAAACCTCAAGCCGACATCATGAGCAGAGCCAACCAGGTGAACTTGAAGAGAAATCAACATAGCATG